ACGAATATGTTCCAAAGGCTGTGCCTTCCGCCTACCCCAGACAAAAGGCAGGGACGACCGCGCTACACGGGACCTTACGATGGGGACCGAGATGTAATGGTAGGGCATGCTGCTGAATTTAAAGGGAAACGATTGTATGTGACAACAGATGAGCGCTATCGCATACTTCAGGCTACGCCTGCGCCTCTGAAGCAGATGCTCCAGGACGCCCATATTACGGGCCCTGTGCCACCTAACGTCGAAGCCATCCGTAAACAACGGGAGTTACGCTTAGATACATGGCAGAATTTGTGGAAGATCCAATTTTTGCAATATTAGCCGGTCTTAATCAAGATGACGGATCTTTCGCGTGCGCAATGGATTATACGAGAGCCGAATTTTATTCCGATGACTGTCCTGATGGATTTTCCCCAGGCGCCTGTGCATGCTTGAGGCCACTCATAATTGGAGAAGATGACGATGAGAACCCGGCTGCCTTAGGCAGTTCGGACACCTGGAGTGGCATGAGTTCCCGAGCGGATGATTCGGCCAGAATAATAGGCCAATGTGCTGTATACATCGCGAGGCACTGTTCGGACTATGCTAGATCGTCAGGAGGCTGGGTCTATTTTAGGGACCTTGTACAGAAGGTATATGATGACGGATTTACTTTCCAATCGTGCGCCTTGTCTGCGCACAGCTTAGCTGTGTTGCCGGCGGGGACAATTGATGTCCCGGGGATTTCCCCCAAAGACAGCCCCAATATTGCTGGAACACTGATTCGCGACAAACACAATAAGATATCCCTGCAAGAGGTCAATGGAAGCGAAATGCCCATGCCAATATTTTATAGGGCATGTCAGGGACATTCTACATGTACCGCTTCGATTGAAAGAATGTATGTCCCATGCGACCCTGGCCAAGTCAGGAGTCACGGATCTCTTCTACATATTACGAGTTGGCAGGCATTTTTGGAGTCTGCGAGTGGAAATGCTTGCTTTCCAGAGGGCAGCTCCGGGCTGTGTCATGCAGCAGAATGCGATTTATTGCGTTTACTTCCGGCAAATAACTGCCCAACTCTGCCTGGCCCCTCGGATTTTCCTCCATGGCTAAGCCAAAGGAGATATGGACAAGCGCCCATTGCAAGAACCGTAGCATCGATGGGCAACCAGGCTCGGGAAGGGGAACCCCCAAAGGTGGGTGCCTTGAACGTGGAAGACATGCGCCACCTCTGGCCATGTCTCCCCAACCTCAAGAATCACGAGCAATGGGGTGTTATCCTTGTTTTCACCGGCAGAGTTCTTACCCGCTTCTCATACAGAGTATGCCCAGACGGGACGTTGGTGTCCCGGGAGGTACCGAGATTTACAGACATCGACTCAGCCGTCTCATTTGTGAGGCAAAGGAATCAGATGCGCTGGGCGGTACTCTTTGACCGCGAGTTATCTTCGTACGAGGTCATCTTCGATGACGCGTCGATTATTGCCTGGGTTAACACGGACGAGAGACTACTCATTAATTGGGACCACGAAATAAGAAGATCGGATTCCCCAATTCAAGATCGAATTATATCTACCCCATGGGATGACGATGGGAGATTCCTTTGCTTCCGCTACCACTGGGTGAGGACGGGCTTTGCCAACTGTCCCGTCTGTAATTGCCCAATCCGATATAAATATAGGGTATCACACGATTACATGACCCAGACATGGAAATACAAAACTATCCCGCAATCCCTTGAGTCACATGGTATTTGGATAACTGTGGAAGACGAAGGATATCTGCCATGGGATCGTCGTGTATATATATGGAGGCGCGTATAAGGAGACAAGCGAGAGCTTCTGCTAACGTTGCGAAAAACGTCGCCAACAACAATCAGCAGGAGCGAAGATGGATAACCAACTTTGCCACAATGGCGGCTGCTGGCACCATATTTGGCAACAGTCAGCAAGGAAATTTTCCAGCTTGGATCCCAGCGAACGCCGAGGCTCAGCCTCCGGCGCGACATGCGCCTTTCTTTGAATACTTAAGGCCTCTGGTCAAGAGATTTATATCGTGGCTAGAATATTCGGCCACAAATGTACACAGACGAACCCCGGCTATTAACAAATGGTGGCCAAAATTGTGGGCGACTGGTTTTGATCATTACGCTCGCCCCAGATCCTGCCCAGCACTGCAAGCATTTCATTGGTCTGATGAGCCTGGCGACTTGATTACACTTAGGATTGGCTGGGCACAATGGTTCAACAACATGAGGAGAGGAAACCTTTGTACCTACACTTGCCACAGTAGACGATGCCATAAGTTTTGACATGTCATGGTTTGGCGTTACTCCTGAAGATACTGGAAACAACGACGACAATACCAACCCTCCTGCGAGGTTACCGGTCGCCTGGGAGAACAACTTTAGAGCGCGACCAACTCGCAGTTCACACTCCGTAGCAAGACGGGTAGGCATGTCTCGGGACCATCGTCTTATAGTTCCAGCGTTGCGACATGCCTCCGGCTCAGCAGCGAGGGCACGGGAACAGTCGCAAATGGATATGGACCTCAAAGTAATCAGCGGGCCTAAGGCCGCGTCGATAACTGATGGGCTCCTTGCGCTTGAAGGACCCGAGGGACACGTGTACTTTCATCATGAGGACCGTCTGATGAAAATAAGATTGTTCGGGAACGAACTTCGTGAGGTTGCCGCTCATTATATAATTGAACGCACGGGAACGAACCCCACTGCGCCCGGCAGGGTCGCCCTGACTGGATATGAGGACTATGTGATCCCGGCGATCATCAGGAAAATAGTGGATGACAATTGGTTGGTAACAACACAAAACATGGAATTGGGCCTTCGACCCGTAAGGGTTTTCGCAATTATTCGTGAGGTAACTTGATATTTTATATCAGAGAACCACTTTATTGGTTACCTGGGGCGAACCATTCGCCCCGAAATGGCGAGCACCGGCGAGGTCGAGTCAAAGAGACGAACCGACGCATATGCTTTGGACTGCCGTATTCGTGCGGCTGTTGAGACGGATGACATTATAGAAACACCCGCAAAATGGGCCGGAAAGTACAGAATGACGTCCGTCGCCACGGTGCCGTAATACAAGAGGCCATAATTTGGCTGCAGGATAAGTATCCTGACCCCGGTGCCGATCTTCAGGACAAGGAAGATGGTCCTTTCCGCACTGCTAGCGGTCTATATGGTGTCGCCGCAGCAACTGCTGCCATAAGTATATTGCAATTTATGGACAGTAGGGACAATGACCCTGAACACGACGGCGAAGCCGAGATCGTGGGGCCACGTGTGCCTGCCGGACCAAAGGCAAGACCTTTGTCTCGCACGCCATCTCTTCGACCTGGCATCTCAGATGCCCAGGCGTCTGAGGAGGCTATCGGTTCCCAACGTTCTGTCGCCGGCTCAGCCGTGCCGACCAGAGACGCTGACCTACAAGATCCCGACCCGAGGGATCGGTCGGATGTCCAACGCGCGCGCGATGCAGCCATGGGTGATGCCTCTGCCGCGGCCGCCGATGATGCCGCTAGCCTTGCGCTGCCCGCGGCGGCGGACGCTGCCGCAGGCGCTGCCTCAGATGCTGCTAGCAGCGCCGCAGGATACCGCCCCGCATGCGACCCCAACCAGTCCTACCCGACCTACGTGAATGGAATCCTCGTCGGATACCACCTCCACCGGGACAGGATCACGTGGCTCAATGACGACGATTGGTACAATTTGCCTTACTGGACCTGGCTGTCGAAGTGGGGGCATGATCATCATTTTCCGCCGAGAGAGGCGGCACAGGTTGGAAATAACGACAGAGAGAAAGGGCGTTCTCGCACGCCACGTGGCGCGGGCGGACAGACGGGAGGATCGGCGACTTCAAACCCGCCGCCTCTGGCGCCGCCAAGGCGAGAGAGTTCGTCGAATCCGTGGGGGGGCCTCAACTGAGTGCGGCCCGCGCGTCTCCGTCCGCGGCATGCGCACACCAAATACTTTACCCACACGCTAAGCGTGATGGGCGCGGACATCTCTACTGGTCGGCTAAGCCGGACCAGCGGAGAGAAACTATTTATATCTTCTGTAGTGGGAAACGTCGAGCCTCTTCGGCCTTTGGCCCCCTGGCAGCCACCGTTGAGCCGTGAAAGCTTTTCGGGGTTGGCTCCGGTGGTTGTGCATATGTACAGGCTGGGGGTGCTGTGGCTGGATGGGCTATGCGCGGCCCGCGGCGGGGGGAGTAAATATGCTCCTCTCCGCCTAAGACTCAATTAGAATATAACTTAGATTGCATGCAACGAACTGTCCGCGTGTACTGACGCTGCGTTTCTGCAGCTGTGTTACTGCTTAATCCAGCCGAACTCGGCTGGCAGGAGAGAAAAGGAGCGCGCTGGGGCGCGCGGGCGATCCGTCGTCGTCCGTCCTCGGCCTTCCTCCTCCCTTCCTATTCCTGATCAAGTGGTTTAGCTTAACGGATATCTGTCTTATCAATGTCTCATCCCGCCTCCGATCTCCCTGAGCAGAGTGAACATGAGATCTTACTTCCTTTGTCATCTTACCCCGATTCTCAGAGGAAAGACTCCTCCCCCTCCTTCCTCCCTCCTGCTCCTCTTCCTTCTCCTCCTCCTTCTCCTCCTTCTCCTCCTCCTCCTCGTTTGCCTATCTCCTCCTCCTTCTCCTCCTGCTCCTCCTCCTCCTCCTCCTCCTCCTCCTCCTCCTCCTCCTCCTCCCCCTCCCCCTCTGCATCCCTCCTGCTCCTTTTCCTTCTCCTCCTCCTCCTCCTCCTCCGCCTCCTTCTCCTCTTCCTCCTCCTCTTCCTCCTCCTCTTCCTCCTCCCCCTCTCCGAGCGAGGGCCCTGAACCCCCGCCTCATCTATGCCGAGCTGACCGGATACGGCGCCGAGGACGCGCGGGTCGGCTACGACGCCGTGATCCAGGCCGAGGCAGGCTTCACCTACATCAACGGGGAGGCTGACGGTGGGCCCGTCAAGATGCCGGTGGCGCTGGTGGACCTCTTCCTCCCCGTCCAGCCTCCTCCTCCTCCTCCTCTTCCTCCTCCTCCTCCTCCTCGTCTTTCTCCTCCTCGTCCTCTTCCACGTCGTCGTCGTCCTTCTCCTCGTCGTCGTCGTCGTCTTCCTCCTCTTCCTCCTCCTGCTCCTCCTCCTCTCTGGTGGACCTGCTGGCGGCCCACCAGTTGAAGGAGGGCATCCTCGTGGCGCTGCTGTGCCGGGAGCGCACCGGGCAGGGCGGCCTTGTCTCCACCTCGCTGCTCGCGGCGGCCGTGGCTTCGCTGGCCAACCAGGCCACGGCCTTCCTCAAGGCGGGTGTCGTGCCCCAGCGGCTGGGCTCGGAGCACCCCTCCATCGAATGGCGCCTGCGGCGAGTGGTCGCCGCCCCCTCCTCCCTCCTCCCTCCTCCCTCCTCCCTCCTGCCTCCGCCCTCCCTCCTCCCTTCTCCCTCCTCCTCCTCCCTTTCCTCCTCCTCCTCCTCCTCCTCCTCCTCCTCTTCCCTGCACGCTGGTGGACTGATTGGTTCCCTCAGCAGTTGGGGAAGCCGCTGGTCGGGGCCCCCTGGGGCCGTGCTGGGGCCATCCTGGGCCATCTCGGGTGCCGCTTGGGCCATCCTAGGATCATCCTGGAGGCCCTGTGGGTCGTCTCGGGCCGTTCTGGAAAGTGTGTTGGGCTGTCTTCTACCCTCGCAAGGCCGAAAACCGAAGATCCGAAAGTCAGTGAACCGCATCAGGAGCAACATGTTTTTTTCTTCTCGAGGCCTCCTGCGGACCTCTTGGAGCCTTCTCGGGCCGTCCAGGGTGCCTCTTCGGTAGTCTGAAAGCCATCTTTGGTCGTCTTGGGGCCATCTCGGGCAGTCGTGGAGGCATCTTGAGCCTACTTGGATGCAACTTGGGTGGATATAGTGGACTGGCGTGATGTCGAGGAGGACCCCCCCGGAGGACCCTCTGGGGGCCATCCTGAACGGACACGCGCATGGATTTTAGCTTTTCTGGGTGGCCAGTAGGTCGGGCCGAAAATCACCTGGTGATGGGTCAGGTCAGGTGTGCCAGGCGCCTGCACGGCGCATCGGCAGGGCGAGAGTGCACGACCAAACGCCGAGGGCACATGGGTTCGACCAAACGCCGAAGGCGAGAGGGCTCGACCAAACGCCGAGTGCGAGAAGGCTCGGCCAAACGTCGAGGGCGAGAGGCCACGGCCAAACGCCGAGCCAAGATGACGAATCAAACATGTGACAACTGCATGGATCAAACGTGTGGTGAAGAAGATGACGACGATGATATATCAAACATGTGGCAACTGTATGTTGTAAAGCATTACTTATCCAACAATATGTATACGCACTCTGCCCATTGCTGTTTCGGCCTCCGGCGCCTACGCTTTGAAACTCACCTTCGTGGCTCAAAGACTTTAAGGGTAGCTCTTTGGGAGATGTTATAGAGGATCGGGAGTATAGCCTGCGCGCCGTTGCCTTTGGCTCAAGGCACGCGCGCCCCATTTGCCCAGACACTTACCTTAGTGTTCGCTATGCGCTGGAAAGATCATTACATCGATCTTATCCTACCCTACCAATCCACTCCCCATATCGTATTCCTTCGACATGGAATTGGATGCTATATGAGATGCCAGAGTCATTTCAGACTTGGTAGCGGAGCTGGCCGCACTCTCGTGTGGTCAGCTCTTGCTCTTCTTATCCTCACGCTATCCGGCACGATCTTCGTGACCAACTACCACCCTGCGCCACCACTCCAACTGCATTTACGAGGATCAATTCAAGAGCAAGAAGCAACACGAGAGGTACGACGTCTAGACAACAACATTGGTACCATATACGCTTCATCACTACGCTGCTACCAACCGCTCGGCAACGAGCCAAAAGCGCAGCACTTGAAGCAGAGGCGGGGAGACCCGCAAGATAAAGCGCCTCGTAGACTTGACAAGGCGTTACAAGCCCTACCCCAGCGCGGCAACGCGCCTGATAACCACCCATATCTTCACAGCCTTGGGTTGGTTATCTTCGCCATCATATGGTTGCGCTGGGGGCAGCAATCGGACACATGCGCCGAGGAGAACAGCACAGATGGGCAAACACATGGCCCATACTGGGACCCTCAAGGCAACGTACCTTTCCGCGAATACGTTTATGAGGTCAACGCGTGGCTTAACGTCACAAGCGGACGCATGACGCCACAAGCCCAAGCAGCCGCCATACAACGCGGCCTGGGTGGCCCAGCGAGGACACTCGCCATGAGGGTACCACCTGACAGTATAAACTATGGTGCGGACATCGATGGTGTCCACACCGACCCAGTAACTTAGATTATGTTCCTCTTAAGCATGAAGTTCCAACTCCTGGAAGATGAGCGCCAGCTCACTTCAGGCACTCAGCTCATCGACTTTCAAGTGCCTCACGGAGAACGAATCGACGTAACCCTTTCTCGGTTCGAGATGGCCCGTCTTGAGGCGCAGTCGGTGGGTTTTGACCTTCCCAACTTCCAACTGCTCACTACTATCCTGTTCCGCGCCCTAGGCGTTGGCAACCAGCGAGCCATGCAACTCTTACAGCCACTCAGCCATCAAATGCCCCGAACACAACAGCAGTATGACGAATTGTATGAGAGGATGCGTTCGATAGGCCATTTGTCAGAACGGCCTCTTGGTAACGTAGGATCAGTGTTTGGAAGGGGAAGGGGAATTGGCAGTGGAAATTTCTATACTACCTTAGCCGCTGAAGTTCAGCCTGGCAACGGGCCCTCAAACATATGGGCCGACGATCCTGGAGAATCTACTGCCCTACTAACAGGGGATCGATCACAACCAAGCTGGGCGACCGGCCCTCCTCCTAGAGAGCCCTAACCACACCGTTCCCTGTGGGGTGAAGCGAATCCCCTAGACGACGGTGTATCCACCTACTGAGGTAAAGACGACTTCGATTCCGGCACGGAAACCGACACTATATCATCAGGTGGTATCGAATCCCTAGATTGGTCAGATATCATGCAAATGGAAGGTGACAATCAGCGTGCTGAACAGCTGTTCTGGTTATCACAGCAGGCAAAGCGTAGGTGGAGGAGGTTTACACGAAAAAGGGTGCGTCGTGCTAGGAGGAAGATACGGAGGAGCTTCAAAGGAAAAGGTAAAGGCGAACGGGGTCGCCGAAGGTTGAACGGACGAGGCATCGCGGCTTTCCTCCAGAGGGTTTCAGATGATCAGTGCGATGAGATATTTTTCGGGGGGAAAGGCTGTGGAAAAGGCCGTGGGGAGACCTCGGGCAAAGGTAAAGGTAGGCGGGGGAACCCCGAGATGTAGAGGCGACCAGGCCCTAAAGTGCCATGAGTGTGATAGTACCGATCATCTTGTAAAGGATTGTCTAGCGAAGGGAATGGAAAGGGTAGGTCGACCGAAGTCCATTTATGCTCAAGTCAACCGTCTATTGAATATCTGAGCCTCCAAGATTTCGAGGCTTTGGAACAGATATTTTTTCACTTGGGCTAGCATTGTGGACACTTTGGATGAGCTCGAGAAATACGGCCATGGGCTGTGCGCGTACTACTTCGAGTACCTCCGCAGGTTTGTTCTCGGAAATATCGAGCTTACGCCTGTGGAGAACGGAACGCTGGGAAACCAGTCCCTATCTTTCTTCGACTGGATGTTCGGTAAACCAGGCAACATCATGGCCTACGAGAGCAGCGACGAGGCGGTCGCTGTTGAGGCCTCGCCTTCGGAGGTTGACCACAGCCTTCGACGTCGACCCGACCTCATGCCTGGAAACAGGCCCACTCCAGTATATCCCCCAAATTATGGTGATCTGATGGAATTAGAGGGTAAAGCATTCACAGTGGGCGTGCCAGGAAACCCACGCGTACCACCTGGCATGCTCGCGCCAGGCGAGTACGGACCGCGCGCGACACTGCAGACTCTCATGCAGATGCGCGCTGTACTGGTCGTAGCATATCCCGAGAGTCAAGAGAGTGTCGAGAGTGGCCACATGATGCTACAAGATACCGATGCCTGTGACGACTCGGAGTTATGGTTAGCGGCCCTTATTCTCAATGACAGCGTGCACCCTGAGGACGTGCAGCGACGCGTGGTATTCTAGAGGGAGATGGCGCCAAGCACTTGAAAGGGCCATCTCCATGCGTGGACAGGCACCCCCTCCGCCGGGATGGGGTCTCCAGGCGGCGGGGCTACAGCCCAGCCACGCGGCCATGCGAAATGTTATCGGGCAGCCCTCATATGACTATGATCAGCTCGAGGCGCACGCTATGCTCGGTAACGAGCCTGAGCCGACTGCTGTACCGCCGACTCCGGGACAGCCAAGCGATGCTCAGACGCCTGTGCAGCAGGGGAACCTGCCCGTCCCGGCTGGGCCAATGGCCATTGTTATTGGCAACCTTACGTCAGAAGTTGAAGAAGATGATGGATGTGGAATGTGCGAGGACGAGACCACCATCCTCATGATGACGGAGGTCAATGGTAAAGACGAGGAGGTGGACTATGACCCAGACAGTCCTGACGCACCACCACCCGCACAATGGCAAATTGTGCCAGACTCCAGTCAGCAGGGGGACCTGCCTGCCCAAGATGCGCCGCCTGCGGCCCCCCAGGAACCCCCGCCGGTTCCTGCTCAGGCTACGTCGGCGGCATCATCTGATGAACATGCCAGGAGGTCTCTTTCGCATCCACGCCTTAGGGGCGACCCTCACCCTCAAGCACGGCTCCCACGCGAATGGAGGCAAGCAGCCCCATCAGAGCATGCCTCTCGACGAGGGGGTCAGCTGCTCGCCTACAACGACCCTAGGCCACTCTGCCTTTGGAAAGGGCAACCCAGCCTACAGGGGCGCCCAAGGCGGGTCCATACGGGGTGGCTATCAGCTCGCGACGAACATTCGACGTCCTGAGATAGAGGCAGTGCGGAAACAGTTGCGGACCGTGCTACAGGCCAGACGCGGTCTGCGGTCCGTGCTCACAGCCATTCCAGGAACACAGACCTGGGTGTCCTGTGGGTCTCAATGAGGTCTGAAGCCCGAACAGAGGCCGCACTCCTGCAAAGGAGGGTCATCCACCGTTGGTTCCTATGACCCAAGCAGAGATCGACGAGGTCAATCGTCGTCTCGGAACCACGGCTCACAGGA